CAATAAAGTGCCCATTATTACTCTAATAATAAATAAAATACACATTATTGCCCTAGGGAAATAATGCACACTATATTGACTGTAAACTATAAATAACTTTTTGCATCTAAAAGAAAAATATCAAAGATCGGTCTTGGAATACTTTTAAAAATAATTATCTTTTCTGCATAAAATAAAAACATATTTTCCTTGGAATTGAATTTAAATTAGAACTTTGAAAAGTATTTTTTTTTTAATGACTATTATAGGAATCGTTTTGGAATTCTAGTGAGCGTACAGAAGTAGGAAATTTCTAATTTTGAACATAAGAGAATGGTTTTTGTGAATTAACGATTTTTAGCCAATTGAACGTGTAACCACTTTGAAATTAGAAACAAAGTTGATTCTATATTATGTCATCCGAGCGTCAAGTCTTCTGAAGATGCTCTCCTCTCTCATCCTCAAAGCGAAGAATATTCATCACCGCCCAACCGCTTAATGATCGAGTTAAGTGGTGTGTCGACTGAAATTTCTTCTAGAAATTTCGCAAAAAAGGAAAAAAATAATCCCTCTGCTTTTTCAAAGACCATTTTTTCTTACTTATATATATTTATTGTTCAATTAATGCAGAAAAACAATTTTTCAATTTTATTAATCTGTTAGTTTTGTTAATTTTAATTATTTTAATTATTGTAATAATTATTTTATTTATTCGAAAAAATGCACGAAAATCGTTGAAAATTTAAAAAAAATTAGACTGATTTACTACTAATGACATTAATTTCATTCAATTTTCTTTTTCTTTTTAATTTTTTTTTTTTTTTTTTTTTTTTTTTTTTTTTTTTTTTTTTAATCACATTAATTTCATTATTCTCAATATTTAGTTACTTTTATTGATTTTATTATTATTCTCTTAAATTGAATTACTTTCATTAATCTCATTAGTTTCATTGATTTCATTAATATTAATTTTTTATATTCAAATTTTTTAAAATTTGCTTTAATAACACAAATTTTAAAAAAATTAAAACGTAAACTAACAACGAGAAAGAAAACTTTGTTATTTAAAAAATTTCATTTCTTTTCTTATTCAGGAAAGTGGAGAAACTTTCCTAATTGAGTTAATTAATGAAAATTTTTTATAAAAATATAATTATTCACAAAATTGGTAGTTTTGATTTTTATTATTTAATTATTAAAATTAATATTAGATAATAATTAATATTGATAGCATAATTATAATTTACTATAATTAGATACAATTTATTATAATTCTAATAATAATAATCTTACAGTCGAACTTGTCGGAATGTTACTCTATTTTAAAACTCTCTTTATATTAAAAAATGTTCTCAATTATTTATAGAAAATTGTAGAAATATTACAAAACTAAATTATAAAACAATTTTTCAAGGATTGTTTACTGTAGTAAAATTTAAAAAATCGAGCTGTATTTCGACAGGTTTCACTGTAATTATATTATGATTATTTGTATTTTATTATAATTCGTTATAATTATTCTATTGTAAATTTTATGTATTTATTATTTTTGTTTTTCCTGTAATCTTCTTTACTTTAATTATAAGAAATTTAAAAATTAAGTAATATTGCATATAATTATTGCATAATTATTACACGGAGAGAAATCTGTTGCGAATAATGCATAGAGTAGAGGTTATGAATATAGCATAAGCACTTACTAGCGAAAAGTATAAGAGGTCCGCCTGAATATCAGTCGACTCCGCCTAATATTCAGGCGGACTCGAGCAATAAATGGGCTCTCTGTTAGGATTTTAGCATCAAAGAATCTATGGAAAAAGTATATGAAAAGTTTCGAGCATTAATCCTAACAGATTTCTCTCCGTGTAGGTAATAATAAAATTAAATTCCCAGGGGAATTAAAAAGCAAAAGTATTAAAAAATTGTAACAAACAAAATTTTTCAATTTCATGGATTTTTTATTACTAAAGAATCAAATGAAAACAATGATTTATTTATAGAACTACTTTGTATAAATACTGAATCTTGCAATATTTGTTTTGTCCATTTCAGTAGTAGAACAACTTTTCTTCTTCTTCCTCTTCTTCTTATCTCTTTTTATACACATTTGCTTTTTATACCTAAAACTACTAACTTGATGGAATATTTAGAAATATATAAAACTTTTTATTTATTTTCTGACTCGATATATTAATTTAACAGAAACAATACTTAAGAAATCGAAATTAGATATATGTATATATTGAAAACCACAGCCACTTTACAAAATGAATATAATTTATTTATTTTTCTTGTTTTTTTAATAAAAAAAAAGAAAAAAATTATATTGCTTTTTTTCGACATTTAATTTTGAGAAAAAGCACCATTTAAAATAGAAGCGTTGTTTAATTATTATAATTGTAGTGATTGCAATTTTTTTCTGTTTTTTCTTTTTTTTTGACGGATAAAAAAAATAAATAGTGTGTGTTGTGTGTTTGTGTGAATGATTGAGGGCTTCGCGTGAATACGCTGAAGGCATTATTTTTTTTGTCTCGGTAACGCGCGAGGGTCAATTTTCGTGTGATCGCTACCGAATGTTTTACAAGCGTAAAGTATGCCGTTTTATTTTTACAGAGGAACGTCCACGACGATCCGATATAATATAGGATTCACTCCCTTTTATTCGATTATACACGCTCTCACTCTTTTTTTTCACTCTCATTTTCACTTTCACTCCACTCACTCATTTTCTCTCTTTCTCTACAAGGGTATTTTTTGTACACACACTCGTAATCACAAATATATGCACAGTGAATATACACAAATGTACGACTTAAAGACTACGAGCATTTTTTTTCTTTTTGGCTTCAAATCTACAAACTTAATAACTAGTGAGTCTTTTTAACTCCTTTTTGGAGTGACGTGCGGTTATAATACAAAATCGGTACTCATCGTCAAGGTCGTCGAGGAAATAATTTTCTTTGGGGATTTTTTACGAAATAAATTTATTTGAATTGTTTACAAAATAAATTGAATATTTCTGAAATTTTTCTTTAAAAATTCTTATCTTTTATTTTAAGAGTATCTTTGGTTTAATTTAAAGGAATCGCAATTTTTTATTTTTAAAAAATTTCCCTTTGTTTTAAAGAAGAAATTTTTTCTTTGAATAAAAAAAATTTGTTTTTATTGATTTCAAAGATTTTAAGTTTTTTTTTTGGTTTTAAGAAAAATTGTTTTGATTCAAGGATTTTTTTCATTGGTTTAAAAAATTTTTTTTTTCGTTTAGTTTGAAATAAAATTTTTCTTTCGTTCGATAAGAATTTTTCGTTTTATTTCCTACAGAATTTTATTTTTCGTTTTAAGAAATTTTATTGATTGAGTAATATACAGAATTTGCAACTTATAATTCACGGAAACTTTTATACTTACTTTAAAAAAAATTTTTTTGTCCAATTCAAAGTTTGGTTTTTGATTTTGGTTCAATTTTCTTTTAATTAACAGAAACAGAATTTTTTCGGTTCATGAAAAGAATCTTTTTCGTTTGATTAAAAGAAATCGTATTCTTTTAAACACTTTTTCTTTTGTTTTGAAGAATATTTCTCTTCGAATCAAAGACATTTTTTTTTATTCTGACACAGTAAACAAAAAATCTTAATTTAAAATCAGTCCTGAATTTGTGCCTTAAAATAAGACCTTCTTTTTACTGTGGACTTACGAAATTCAAATTTTTCTCTCTGTTTGAAGAAAAAATTGTCTTTTAATTTAGAAAAATGTTCCATTTTGGTTAAAAAAATCTTTCTGTGTTTTAAACAAACGTTTTTTTTTGCTTTCAAGAAATTTCTTTTGTGATTCTTTGAAATTTTGTCATTTTATTTAAATGTCTTGAAATTTTTCTTTTGGTTCAAGGAACAATTATAGAAACTTTTTCTTTAGATTTACGAAAAAAGTTTTTCTTTTCTTTAGAGAATAACTATGTTTTTGGCTTAAAAAAATTTTCTTTCATTTGTAGATTTTTTTCTTATCCTTCAGCAAAACCTTTTTTTCTTGAGTTAAAAAGCATTTTTTTGAATCCAATAAACAATAAAAGAAATTGTTCTTTGTCGTTCAAGGAAAAAGTTTACATTTTCTCAGAAAATTTTTTTTGCTTAGTTTAAAGAATTTTTTTCTTTGTTTAGACAACCTTATTTCTTTTCTTTCACAAAAAGAATTCTTTTAGAGTTTAAAAATTATATTCTTTTGATTAAAGAAACAAGAATACAAAATTTTTCTCGTGGTAAAAAATAAATTAATAAAAGAAATATATTAAAAAATTTTTTTTTCATATTTAAAAAATGCTTTCTTCAGTTTAAACAAGAAATATTTTTCTTTGATGATTCAAAATTTCAGCTCAATTTATTAAATATTTAAAGAGAAAAGTGGTCAAAAAAATTACCATTGAATTTCTAACAGTCATACATGTATATGCTGTTAAAGAAACTCTTTCTCGCTTTATAAAACCTTGTCTTGTTTAAAGAACAGAGAAACTGTATCAATAACATAAGATAACTTTTTTGTTTAGTTTGAATGAATCTAATTTTTTCCTTCGTTTAAAAAAAATATTTCCCGTTTTGTTTAAAAATACCTTTCATTTCGGTTAAGGATAACATTTTCTTTGGTTTCAATTTCATTTGGTTTCAAAATCAATTTCCTTCTTTCAATAACTATAAATAGTTATTTTAATTTTTTTGCCAATTGATTTAGTATTGATAAAATAATTATTTATTTATTAATTATTAATATGATATAATAATTATAATATTTTAAGTATTAATACAATAAAGATTAATATACAGGGTGTGGTAAAAGTATATGGAAGCTCTTAAATATTTCTTAAAATTTGTATTTTGGGGCAAAATGTTTGAAACAAAAGTTGTTGGACTTAAACTTTTCGCCTTATGCGAAATTATTTAATTTTAATATATTTTTTTTAGCCTAACAACTTTTGTTGTAAAAAATTTTGTACCAAAATACTTTTTTTTGAGAAATATTTAAGAGGTTCCATTCCATTGTCACACCCTGTATAAAGTATTAATAAAATAACAATTAATACAGTAAATAACAATTAACAATTAATATAGAAATGAAGGAGAAAAGAATTACTTCGTGCCGTTCATTCGCGTAATGGACGACGTTGACGACGTTGACGACGAGACGACAAAAAGTTCAGGTCGCTACGCGTGCGGATGCGTGTGAGAATGCGGATGTGACGAGAGGGTTAAACCAGCCGACGTGGTGACAGGTTGAGGGCCAGACACCGACACAGGTGTCGTTGACAAATGATGACCGAAGAATGACGGTCCCGTGGGAGGATAGGGCGACGGATGATAATAGCCAGGTGGCGGTGGCGGTGGCGGCGGTGGATGATGAACGTGTGAGTGCGAATGCGGATGTGGATGCGGATGTCCGTGTGGATGGGCCGCGAACAAAAATGCCGGCGCATAGGGCGACGGATGCGACGGTGCTGTCGGCACAGTTGGACTATTAACGTCCAGGCCGGGATTTTGCTTTTTCCACTTTGTTCGTCGATTTTGAAACCAAATTTTCACCTGAGTCTCAGTGAGACTCAACGAGAGGGCAAGATTTAAACGTTCACACACGGAGAGATACCTTGTTGTTTTGAATTTATTTTCCAATGACACCAATTGCTCGTAGGTGAATGCTGTTCTTGCTCTTCTTGGCTTGCCGCCGGTCCCACCACTCGAGCCATTGTTCTGGTTGCCTTGGCCTTGGCAATTTTGACCTTGACTGGGAGTACCGCTTGAAGATGATGAGGAGGACGAGGACGATTGTCTTTTTTTACAGTTCGACGGTGTTGTCGTGTTATTTTCTCTAGTGAGACCCGAGTTGTCGTGTTCCTCCTCGCCAACACGCATCTCCACGTCGTCCTCCTCTTCCTCGATGTCCTCGTCCATGTCCTCCATTCCGTCGGGACAAATTTCGTCCTCCTGGCCACTGCCACCGGCGAATTCACCCCTCGAGTCTCCATCTGAAAAGAAAACAATTTAATTAATTCTAATCAATTAGTTTTGGAGCAATTTTTTCTTTTGATGTAAAAAATCGTGTAGAAATTGTGGATCGTGTTTTCTTTAAATGCAATTGAATCAATGATATATTTGTTTGTCGCAAAAATGGGCATATTCAATATCATTCGAATACAATTACATTTAAGTAGAAAAAGTCAATTTTTTGTAGGTTTAGCAGCAAGTGGAAGAAAGTTGAAAATATAAAAAGAGTTCTATTCTTTTTAAATTGAGTTCAGTAGTGAAAGGCATTTTTAGATAGACACCAAAAAGGGTTTGAATATTAGTGAAAATGGTAAATATTAAATTCCATGAAGTAAATTTGTTATATTTTTTAAAAGTTGAAGTAATTAGTAAAAAATACCAGTATTAGTCAGACGATGATAATCCTGCAGTAATATGCATCCTTATCCTGTATTAGTAGAAATGTTCAATTATAGTCAGCCAATGTTTGAACTTTGTGTATTTTTTATGTTTATTAACAAGTAAAAAAAGTGACAAAATTCTTCTACTGGGGATTAGTATATAATCTTTTTTAAACAAATTTTAAATACTCGTAAACCAATTGCAATGAAACTTAGGAATTTCAATCTACACATAAAAAGAAACATTTTCACCAAATATTACGTCAAAATATTCATTAGTTTTTGAGATGTCAAAATTTTGGAAAAATTTTGAAATCGTTATATCTTCTTTCCATCTTAACCAAATTACTTAATTCTTTTTGGAAAAAATTCAGCATAAAAAAACGAAAACATTTTTTATATTATGTTTATAAAAAATTTTTATAAACAAAAAAGTTATTAAATAATAATTGAATAACTTTTGCACGACTAAACGAAATTGAATGAGGCAAACACTAAACAAATCTTCGCTCTGGTTTTTTTAAGATTCCGAAAAAAACATGGTACATCACGAAACATTTCTATACAATATTTTAATATTTTTGTTCACTTTTAAGCGTAAACATTAGAAGTTTCTGCTACTTTACGTGAAAATTTAGGTGCGCGCGCAGACCTCTCTTTCTAATCATCTACGAATTTCCGGTTTCAGAGAGAGAGGTCTGCGCGCGCACCTAAATTTTCACGTAAAGTAGCAGAAACTTCTAATGTTTACGCTTAAAAGTGAACAAAAATATTAAAATATTGTATAGAAATGTTTCGTGATGTACCATGTTTTATTCGGAATCTTAAAAAAACCAGAGCGAAGATTTGTTTAGTGTTTGCCTCTTTCAATTTCGTTTAGTCGTGCAAAAGTTATTCAATTATTATTTAATAACTTTTTTGTTTATAAAAATTTTTTATAAACATAATATAAAAAATGTTTTCGTTTTTTATGCTGAATTTTTTCCAAAAAGAATTAAGTGATTTGGTTAAGATGGAAAGAAGATATAACGATTTCAAAATTTTTCCAAAATTTTGACATCTCAAAGACTGCTGAATATTTTGACGTAATATTTGGTGAAAATCTTTCTTTTTATGTGTAGATTGAAATTCCTAAGTTTCATTGCAATTGGTTTACTTACTCCGAAAAAGCTGAAATCTCCCATGGAATCGCACAGTAGTAAAGTTTACATTTAGTCAGACAATGTGATAAATTCTTGTAATTATTGTGTCAGCAGTAAAGAGAAACAGTTTTAAACAGACAAAGGAATTCCTACGATTCTTTATTAGTACAGTTATAAGTAGTAAAAGTAAATTTTCGGTCAGACACTACTTAAGGACGTTTATCCAAAGAAACGCAGACTTTTAAAAAAAGAATGAATTATAATTTAAATAATTAAAATAGTAGTAATAGAATTTCACAGAAAAAAGTGTTATTTTAACACCGCATTTGGTGTTAAAATAACACAACAAATTTTACCCTTGTAAATGGCACCTAATTAATAATGATTGAATAAATAAAGCTAATTTCACACGAAAAAAAATCGTACTAAGTTTTTTGTGTGTTTTTAGGAAAACAAATATTATAATTTCAAAAAAAAAATTGATAAAAGAATATCTTTGTTTTTACGATTGGATTTTAATATAATATGACTTAGGTGATTTTTATAAATGATTCTCTATAACGACACAGTTCAGATTTTTAAACAAGCACGCCGTTTAGAAAATATGCTTATTTGTTTAAAAGAAAATTTCGACTTTTTTTTAAACAAATAAGCATATTTTCAAAATGGCATGTTTTATTTAAAAATCTAAATCGAATATATACTATTAATAATAATTTTGAATAATTTAAATATTAATTAATTATTTTTCCAGAGGTCTCCATTCCTTTGAATACTTTAATTTACAAAAATTAAATTAAATTTATTTTATGAATTTAATTAACTCTCTAAATCTGAATTAGTAGTTTTCTACTAATGAAATAGTACGGATTCGTTTACCAATTTGAATTAGTAACAATTTTGACTAATTTTTAGTAAACAACTACTATTTCCTAGTATGAAACTGCTAATTCAATTGGTAAGTCGTATTTTTTACTATTTAAAATTAGTAAGCTCACTTACTAATGAATTAGTAGTTTTCTACAAGCAATTAGTTGAAAATTACTAAAAATTAGTGAAAACTGTTACTAATTTAATTGGTAAACGAATCCGCATTATTTCATTAGTAGAAAACTACTAATTCGTATTTAGAGAGCACAAAATAAGTAATAATAAATGAATATTAATAATAAAATATGAATAAACTTTGCTAAGGGGACTTTCTGGTCAAGGATTTTAAAAAAAAAAATTTTTTTTTTTAAATTTTAAATTTTTTTTTTAAATATTTTAAATTTTTTTTATTTTTTCAAAAACATGTGTATAAAAAATTTTAAAACACAAAAAAATAGTTTTTGAGCTTTGTTGTCTAGAAAAAACCTTTACGAAAAGAATCTCATTTGAATTCTGCACTAGAAAGTCCTCTTAAAATCAAATTTAATTACATAATTCTAGAATCAGTTTTTACATGCATTTCAGTAGTATATGTCTGTTGTTGGTCAGGCAATAATTCTTGATAAGGAAATATTAGTAGAAAAAGGAATTATCAAACAGACTGTATTTGTATTTACGTATAGCAAAAATTTTAGCAGTACCATTCTTTATGGATTTTTTCTTTCTCTTTCAGAGTTCGACATTTAAATTGCAAGAAAATAAAAATTGAAAAAGTTGTGGGCATTTTTTCGACTAAAATCACGAAATTTTTACAGTATTTTGTTAAAGAAACATTTTTTTCGGAAACTGTAAGGTAAAATATAAGCTGCTAACCTATATGAAAACTAATGTAAACTAATGTATACCGTACTTTAAAAAATTTTAAGATCGCGGTTTTAAAATAGCAATGGAAGAAATTTCTTTTTTAATAAATTTATACATTTATCTACGAATAAAAAAATGTACATTTTTTTGTCACTAGGTATCTGAATGGTTTTGTAGTCGCGGATTACGAATCTGATGTCAGTTTTTCAAAATTAAAAATAGTGGATCCAATATTGCGGACGAATTTTTTGAAAATTCATAAGATTTACTTAAAACTCGTTACTCGAGAGTTTTTGGCATCGTTGATTACGAATATGATGTCCTTTTTTTGAAATTCAAAATGGCGTCTCTAATATGACGAAAGAATTTTTAAAAATTTATCGGATTGGCAAGAAATTCATAACTCGGGGGTTTTTGGGGTCGCTGATTACGAATTTGGTATCAGTTTTTGAAAATTCAAAATGGCAGATCCAATATGGCCTATATTTAAAAAAAAAATTTATTCATCGGATTCGCTTGAAAATCGTTACTCAGACATTTTCGGGGTCGCTGATTACGAATACGATGTCAGTTTTTTAATATTCAAAATGGCAGATCCAATATGGAGGATAATTTTTGAAAATTTTTTTAATTAATTGGATTTGCTTGCAAATTGTTACTCGGGGATTTTCGGGGTCGCTAATTTCAAATGTGTCATCAGATATTCAAAATCCAAAATGGCGGATCCAATATGTTTCCAGAAGCTTAACACAACTTCTTAAATTTCTTTGACCGCCATATTGGATCCGACATTTTGAATTTTGAAAAATTGATACCAGATTTAAAATCAGCGACCCAAAAAACTATTAAAGCATGTTGAGATATAAAATTTTCTATCCAGGGTAAATTGAACATTTGGAACATTGCGAGTGCAACTCGCTCTTGTAAATTTTTTTTTCTTTTTGTTTATGTACAATTTTTTAGTTTTTCATTAATTCCTTTTTTGCTTTTTATTTAATAAAACATTCTTGGTTTCGCGTATGTCCCTCTCTCTATGTACAAGTCGATAAAAGATTCGAACAGTATGAAGCAATGCGAACCGAATGAACGGTTGGACAATCGTTTTCTCTCTCTCTCTCATTCAATGGGTGAGAGAGGATATTGGAGATTCAATCAACGCGCAGATGTCCCGGGGACAGATATTCCCTGGCTCTAGCCCGTGGGAGTTGCTCGCACAAGGGTAAAGGGGGTGGTTCTCGCGGGGCAATAGTGGTGAGTTGAAGAGAGAGAGAGAGAGGAGAGAAGGAGATGAAGGAAAAGAAAGAGAGAAAAGGGACTTTATCCGAATTGGCGTGGCTCGTGGCCCATAGCCCGTAACCCCATACGAGTGAGGAATAAGGGGATTTTGGGTTTGGGAGAGACAGAGAGAGACGAGGGGGTGAGTTTGTCAGTCCGTAGGGGGCGACGGATCGAGAAGGTTTACGCCGTAATGGGATTTGTATCTCGTTAACGCGCGATCGTTCTTGCCCGTCGTATACAGGCCGCCAAGCCGACCTTCTCTATTCTATATACCTGCTCGACGCCGATTGATTGTGTCTAATTGAATCCTTTTCCATTCTGTATTATCTTTCTCTACTCTCTCGGTATTTTTTTCCATTTTCCCCCCTTTCTTCCCTTTTTCCACCCCCTGGTGCACTGTTTCCTTCTATATACTTGGTTTTTGATATCGTATCGGTTATCATTTTC